ATGCAAAATCCAAATAATCATGCATGACCTGCTCAAGGAAGGTTCATTCTTTGTTTTTATCTTCCTCTCCAGGTAATGTAACCTCATTTGTTTTCTTTTTCATGTAAGCAGAGGAACCTGCTCTTATGGAACTTTTGAGTTTTATGTATAGTGGGAAATTGTCAACCACCTCACCTCCTCTTCTGCTGGATGTGCTGATGGCTGCTGACAAGTTTGAGGTTGCTTCTTGCATGAGGTACTGCAGTCAGAAGTTAAGGAGTCTGTCCATGACTACCGAATCTGCACTACTCTATTTGGAGCTCCCTTCCAGTGTCTCAATGGCCTCAGCAGTACAGCCGTTGACTGATGCTGCTAGAGAATTCCTCGCTGACAATTACCGGGACTTATCTAAGTGAGTTGGAGCCATATGAATTAATATCAGTATATCAAAGAATAATACTAGCTAGACTACAAACCCCAAACTAATTTTGTACTAATAGAATTTTGTACTATTATAAACAAAAAAAGAACAAAAGTGTGGGGTCCTTTCGTGTGAATTGCTATCATCATTTGTAACTCATCAAGAACCTACACTCGTATGTTTCTTGCAGTACAAATTAGTTTGGGTGTTACAGTCTAGTTACCACTACTCTATATCAAACGCTAAACAAAAACCATCTTCAACATGATTTCTTTTAACCATCAGGTTTCAAGATGAAGTGCTGAAACTTCCTCTTGCTGGCATTGAGGCAATCCTTAGCAGCGACAACCTCCAGGTAGCATCAGAAGATGCAGTGTATGACTTTGTACTAAAGTGGGCACGAGCTCAATATCCAACAGTAGAGGAGAGAAAGGAAATTATAGGATCCCGTCTTGTTCATCTCATTCGGTTCCCGTATATGACCTGTAGAAAACTAAAGAAAGTTTTAGCTTGCAATGACCTAGACAAGGAGGTATCCAGGAAGGCAGTCCTCGAGGCACTGTTTTTTAAGGCAGAAACACCACATCGGCAGAGAGCTCTGGCGTCAACCTCGTCTTCTGAAGAGCCAGCAGATGCACGCAAGTACATAGAGCGGGCTTACAAGTACCGGCCAGTGAAAGTGGTGGAATTTGATCAGCCCCATCCTCAGTGCATAGTGTATCTTGATCTCAAGAGAGAAGAGTGTTCAAATTTTTTCCCTGGAGGCCGGGTCTACTCCCAGGCTTTTCACTTAGGTGGTCAGGGTTTCTTCCTCTCGGCCCACTGCAACCTGGACCAGCAGAGCTCATTCTACTGCTTCGGACTCTTCTTGGGGATGCAAGAGAAGGGTTCAGTCACCTTCACAGTTGAATATGAGTTTGCTGCGAGGACTAGAACAACGGGAGATTTTGTAAGCAAGTATAAGGGCCTTTATAATTTTACAGGTGGAAAAGCAGTGGGATACAGGAATTTGTTTGCAATCCCTTGGACTTCTTTCATGGCGGAAGATAGCCCCTACTTCATCAATGGTGTTCTCCATTTGAAAGCTGAACTAGCTATCAGGCAACCACAAACGCAGCAGCACTAGCAGAATGAAGGTTTCATATAGTACTTCATCAATGTCTTATACCTAGGTGTAGTTTGTGAGGTTTCATAGATTACTCTGTTATGTTATGCAGGCATCATTATATGTGAAAGAATATGCATTTTGAGTAATTGGTTCCTTTCCTTTTTCTTTTTATCCTGTTTATGTTGGAGTATCACTTACTTCTGAGCAATGTCTATTTTGTGACCAGATGTCCATCCGGTTCAATGGAAAATACTTGGTAATGCAAATATAGTTCATAATTGAGCAATTCAACTTCATACATTCAGTTCACTTTTTATCTTCCTTAATCTGGAAGTGACATATTTCATGCTCATCCTCTCCCTTGGTGATTCTCTTGAACACTGTAGACCGAGATCTATAATAGATGACAGGCATCGACTCTTGATGTTCGTGTATTTCTCCTCCTGAACACACAAGACTTCTCTCTCCAAAAGATTACTATCGACAGCTTGCAAAACAGAATGAGGCAATGCATCCGAAACCCATTTTCGTAAACTCAAGACATCTGCAAACATTTCATCTGTTGGTCTCTTTCCTGAGAATGTCTCGATCAACAGGATCCCGTAGCTGTACACGTCAGCCTTCGGAGACACTCTTCCAGTTGCTCCATATTCTGTTTCATGCGATGAACAAACCTTAGCATTATTGACAAGCTGGATAAGAACATTTTTGATGCAATAATGTGTTTGTCGTTCATTGTGTATAATCTTAAGGAACTTCTTTCTGAGTTGATGGTGAAAGGCTTAATTCTCTTGTTTTTCTATAGATAACCTTTTGTACTGTTTCACAACGGAGAGTGTGGATTGTGATGGCTGAAATTGCAAGTAACAGGATACTACTTGTACATAATACTGAGACTGTCAGTGATCCTACTCAAATATCTATTAATTATGCCACGTATTCGTAACTAAAATCTCATGACACTGTGCCAGGATCTTAGAATCATTGGTAACTTGAGAATAAAAGGAGATGAGGTCATTGGTCGAAGAATGAAGATAAACTTGTAGGTCATTATATGAAGGGTTAATTGCACACAGATCTCCTTTAGTATCGTTGTTTTGCACTTACTACCCCGTAACTTCATTGTTGCAGATAGACACCCTGAGTTCTTTTTTTTTAATAACTCTTTTGCCCGTGGTGAAAGTTTGTCAGATATTGCTCCTGGGTGAAATTAGGGAGTCTATCCAAAGGTAAGAGCGTCAAAAAATTGAACCCAGGGGGTCTATATGCAACAATGAAACTATAGAGACAGTAAGTCCAAAAACAACGATGCTACAGGAGGTCTGTGTCCGATTAAAAATATGAATCAAACATACCTGGTGCCATGTATCCAAGTGTCCCTGGCGCATTAGACTGCATTATGGACTTATTATCATCAGCCAGCAATTTCGCGATTCCAAAGTCAGCTACATGCGCAGTCATCTCTTCATCCAACAGCACATTGCTCGGCTTCAGATCGCAATGCACCACAACTTCAGAATGCTCATGATGCAGGTACTCCAACGCCAACGCAACATCAAGCATAATATTCACTCTCTGAGCAAGGCTCAGATAACAGTCTCCAGAATGCAGCCATACCTCAAGACTTCCATTGGGCATGAACTGAAGAACCAATGCCTTGAAATCCAGATTAGAACAGGTACTGATTATCTTCACAAGATTCCTGTGCCGAACTTTTCTCATAACTTCACATTCTGCGTCGAAACTTTTTAGTGCTCCCTCTGTTTGCAAATTTAGGACCTTTATCGCTGCAATCATGTTGTCGTCTAGCTTCCCTTTGTACACAGATCCATGAATACCAACACCGAGCAAATTAGATTCGCTGAAGTTTTCTGTTGCTCGGATGAGTTCATGACGCGAAATCATTCTGTGGTCTATTGCAGTAGAGTTTCCATCTGTGGATAGAACAATCTTCGGCTTCTTATATAAGAAATAGAAGAAGATTGCTGCCAAAACAATCGTTAAAGATACCGGTGGAAGAATATATTTGAGGAGATGAGTTCTTGATTTCGCGTTGGTGATAATAACAGCCTCTAGTTTGCAAGTTGGCAGGCCTAGTTGGAGATTACCACACAACGCTTCATTCCCCATAAAAGACTCGGCGGTCATATTTGAGAAAACCCCTCCTTTTGGAACCTGGCCTTCGAGCTTATTGAATGAAACGTTCAGGAATGTGAAGTAGGATAGATTTGAAAAAGACTTGGGGATGGTTCCGGTGAGCAAATTAGAAGAAATATCCATGCCTTCCATATTCCCCAAGCGCCCGAAAGATTGTGGGATAGGACCTGAGAATGAATTCTGCGATAATATCAGAAATCTGAGCATTTCTAAATCTCCTATGGTGCTTGGTATGGCTCCCGTAAGCTGATTCATCGCAAGATCCAATTCCGTGAGAGATGCCAGATTACTCACATTTGAGCTCAGAGAGCCCACTAGCGAATTCTGCGACAAGTTGAGTGCTATCAAGCGTTGGAGGCTCCAAATACTCGAAGGGATTGTCGATGAAAGAGAATTATCAGACAGATAAAGCCGCTGAAGGCCGCTAATATTCCCTATACAATCTGGAATTGGCCCTGAAAGTGCGTTGTTGTATATGGAAATGTAACTGAGAGCTCTAAGACTGCATAGTTCAATTGGTATGCGCCCTTGGAGCCGGTTGGAGTAAAGATAAGTCATTTGCAGATTCTTAAGCCCAGAGATTGTACGTGGAAGCTCTCCCGACAACTGGTTGTCATGCAAATTTAGATATATCAAGCTAATCAAATTACCAATAGAATCAGGAATTTTTCCTTCGAGCTTGCAATTTGGGGCTCTGAAGCGAAGAATATTCCTCGAGAGATTCCCAATGGATTCTGGCAGTCGACCTCCAAACTCATTCTCTCCTATCAGCAAGTTCTCCAGTGACCTGCACTTTGTGATGGGGTCCAAAAACTTGAGCCCGCCCTTCAAATTATTTCCCTGTAAACTCAACGACTGAAGGATTTCCAAGTCCCCTAGAGCGTCAGGAACCGAGCCAGTAAAAAAGTTATCAGAAAACTCAATGACAGAGAGCATGGAAGCATTCGAAAGCGAGGCCGGGATTTCCCCACTGAATCGGTTGCCGCTAAGGTAAATTCCTTGGAGATTTGGTAGCCGAAAACCAAGGTCGTCGGGTAGAGATCCGTAGAGGTGGTTGAATGACAACCCGAGTTTTTCCAAAGAAGTCATGTTATAGATTGAATCTATACCACCAGTCAAACCATTCTCGCCAAGATTTAACAGTCTCAGCCTACCGAATCGCGCAAATTCGTCAGGGATTCTCCCTACTAATCCCATATGATTCAAAGTGAGTTCCAACAGCTTCGTGAGATTACCAAGAGAATTTGGAATAACACCTGTCAGATTATTGTACCCAAGATACAAGCCTTCAAGATCCTTCAAACTGCCGATTTCATCAGGTACCCCTCCGACAAACTCGTTATACGACAACGACAGAGTTTGAAGCCTCCGACATCGTCTCAAGCTTTTCGGGATTCTTCCTCCAATCTGGTTCCAAGAGATCGAAAGCAAGTCGACGCGTGGGAGATTCAGATCATCTTCGATCTCTCCATACAGCTGGTTCGTTGCGAGAACGACTTTCTGCAGAGAAGAGCTATTGAAGAGCTGAGCGGGTATCGGCCCCGTAAGTTGGTTGACAGAGAGATTAAGGTGTCGGAGATTCGGAAGGAGAGCAATGGAGTCAGGAACGACGCCCGCGAACGAGTTGGTTGAGAGGTCCAGAGATTGTAGGAGGGTGAGGTTGGAGATGAGTGGAGAGATTTTGCCCCGCAGAGAGAGTTGAGAGAGGTTTAAGGAGACGACTCTTTGGTTTTGGGCGTCGCAGGAGACGCCGGTCCAGTTGCAGAAGGAGGTGGGGGGAGCCCACGAGGAGGTGACTGCGTCGAGGGGATCGGAGGTGATGGAGTTTTTTATGGCGAGAAGGGCATTGAGATCCGTTGAGGATGGAGATGACGAGGACTGGAGGGAGTTTTCCAGGAGGAGGAGGAGGAGGAGGAGGAGGAGAGTGGGGTTTTTTTTCATGTTTGAATTCTTGAGAGCTAGGGACGAGGAGATTGATGATGGGTTGGCTCGTTTTATGGGGAACGAGGACTTGTTGCATGTATTTGACTTCAACTCTTCAAGGCATAATGATCTGTAAAAGTTTCTCGCTGAAGCATCAAAGTTGTGAGAATTGGAGACTATAATTTCATATTTTAGCGTTACTTGCGGATAGGGGTGGTAAACGATCGAATCGAATCGAATACTAAGATGTTCGTATTTGTATTTGTTTAAAATTATCGAATTCGAATGTGGACTCTAAAATTCATATATCTAGTTTTTCGAATTCGAACTCGAATACTTGGTATTTGATAAATATTCATGAATATTCACGAATACTTATCGAATATCAAAGTATATTTATTCCGCTAAAGAATTTGATTTTCAAATAGTATTTGAATTCATAAATAAAATTTATTCCTTTATAATATATGATGTATATATATTTAAATCAAAATTTTAATTAGAAAACAGATTTAAGATTATTTAAGTCTTAAAATCAGGATATAAAGCTCAAGTAGAAATGGTATGTAGGTTAAAAATATGACATCATATGTGCAATAATACAAGTAATATGATGTGATCAAATTTAACTAGAGAGGTCTATTCACAAATGAGCTCCGCAATGCTAGATCCTAATACTTTGACATGTCGATATTTTGAATATTTAATTTTCTTTTTCTGACAAAATTTCACTTTAGATACGTGTTGGATGGGGTATAAAATCTCTTCCGTACGTAATTCCACTACATCACAACTTCAAATTTTTTTGGTGAGGACTGATATTATAGTCTGCAAATGAGCACTTAGGACACTGAATTGAGGCTGACTTAATCTAATATGCAATATAACCGTTACATAGGTAAGCACAAGAAAGTCAAATCTCTATTAGGATCCAATGTGCTTCTCAAAATGTTGACAAACATCCTTGTGGCTTGCATACCACGCTGATATTGGCATGATTTTTTTAAGGTTTTAACAAAGCGAGTGAGCTCAAGCATCGTCAACGGTTAATATTGGATCGCTACCACCGCACCAAAATTGGAAGTGTTCGGTGAGGGTTGAGAGTAATATTTTTTATAGTCTAAGATTGATATAACATTATCTCAAAAATCTCATTTGATACAATTCTAAAAGTAGGATGAATATTGTAAGTTATAATTGTATATTCTAACATATATTGCTGATTAAACGTTTTCTTATGGGTTTTATGAGATTTGAAAAGGAGAATTAAAAAAAAAAGATCATTTTCAAAAAAATTAATAAAAATAATATTTTTGCTAAATAATTAGCAAAATCGGTCTCTTTTTGGCCAGCTCATCAAGGCTTGCCAAAAGAGGTTGATTTTGTAAAATTTGGTGTTGAAAACATACGGGACTACTAGACCTGTGTGTTTAATATTCGCTAATCACCTCCTAAGCACAACTCATAAAACACACGGGACTAATAGCCCCGTATGTTTAACAGAAACAAGCAAGAAACCCATACTTCGCCATGCCCTTCGAAAGCAGGACAAAAGTGCTGACAACCCAAAACATCCTCCTCCATAGTGTAATGCAGATAACAACACCCCCAGCACCTATAAGAACCAAGTAATTCCTCTTCCAAAATGACTCAACCTTTTGCCCTAAAACCTCTCTGTCCTCCAAAATTCCTGATTTGATCTTTGATAAAGGATCCTTGCCTATTGATTCCCCAAATGATTCCCCAAACTCAGCATTGAATTTCCCATAGTGAAGGTTCTAATTGAAACTAGCTGCCTTGAATTGGAAAACCCAGATGGAGAAAAGATTTTTGGGGTTGAAAATTTGTGATTTTGGGAGAGGACTCAAGAAAAGATGCCATTTTGAGAGATGTGTTTTGAGGGAGTTCAATGGAGTAAGCTCTCCTATAGAGAGATCTTGGATTAGGGATTGGGGAAATGGGTTTTAATGGGATTTGGTGGAGATAAAAGCCTTTGGAAACCTGATGCAATTTGCTTTGAGGATTTGGTCGTGATGAGAGCGAGTGAGTTGGGGGGTTGGGAGTGAGGGGGGGGGGGGGGGGGCGGATTACTAGGAGAATTCTTAAAACTATGTACTCTCAAGGGGGAGGTAACACACGAGACTAGTCCCGTGTGTTTGGATTGTGCTTAGAAGGTGATTAACGAACGCTAAACACGCGAGACATAAAAGACTAGTAGTCCTGTGTATTTTTAATACTAAATTTTACAAAATCGACTTCTTTTTTGCCAGCCTTGGTGAGCTGGGCAAAAGAGATGGATTTTGCTAATTATCTAGCAAAAATATCATTTTTATTAATTTTTTTTAAAAAATTGTCCTTTAAAAAACTCTCCGATTTAAAAATTATGTTTTATATATACTTTCTAGATAAAACTTACAGGGTAATCCCCCGCCCCCCCCCACCCCCCCAAACAAAAGGAAAACATTAAACAGGCATTTCTTGTTATTTAAGAGGTCAGTGAACAACTTGTCCCGAACGTTGACTGCTGAGTTGTCTTGTTTCGAGGACTGAATTCTTTGAAATCTGATCAATTTGATCCGTACAGAGTAGAGAGTTGACCGTTTACTTGCTACCTCACCTAAGCCGTTGATCTTCAATAATTTTCACATGATAAAGCTTCCAAAGTCCATTTTCTTCGTTCAACATTCATAATTTTGCAAATGGCATTTCAAAGTCAGAAATAAGCCCGACTTTATTAATATGCAAGTGAGGAAAGTGGGTTCCCCGACTGAAATAAAAGAATAGTCAATGTTTGGGAAAATGTTTGATTCATTGCAAGTGTCATCACAATATAAGTATCGGCTACTTGTAACTACACTTTTCTACAATCGTTCTCACATGTAGCTATAGTTTCAGCTGATTGACTAAATTTTTAAGATTTTATAATTTTATGAGTACAAGCATTTCATATATATTTTTAGTATATCAAAGTTGGCTCCCTCTGAGATTGGTTGCAATTTTAACTTTTTAATTGTTTCAATTGTTACTGCAACTTGCGCACAAATCTGTGCAAGTCATTGGTTGTTGGTTTTTTTTTTTTTTTGCAACTACAGTTGCAACTAAGTTTATTAGTACAGTGGAAAAAATAAGCGTAATTGATTCAAAATGTTCCAGTTACGTACAACTATAGTTCTAAGTTATACAATTGGTCTTTTCTTCTTTTTCTTTTTCCAAGTATGCCCCTCTAAGAGTCTAGGAGAACTCTTTCATCCTTTATTTTCTTTCCAAGCATATCGTCAATCCATATAAATTTAAGGTCTGATTCTGAAATGTCTTTACAAACCTCATCAAATGCATGTATCATATATTTTTACAACATTTACTCACTTGTTACTTTCCATAATTAAACCTGACTTTATAAAAGGAACATCCCCTTTCCCCCTTGAGTCTTGTTTTACAAAATTAGGTTAAAATTGTTTGTACTTTTGTTAGTTTTAATTTTAGCCTTAAACTGAGTCATCAGAATTGTTCCCTCCCCTAGCCAGCATTAACCTGGTTAAGGCCAGGCCGAGCCTAGGAGCCTAAAAAAGAATTTATATGATGTAAGATTCTTATGAAAGTTGGTATCATATCATCAATTTCAGAAAAGGCGTACACGTATCCTATTCAAAATTTGATGAGGACAGGGGGATCCAAGATAGGCATCGACTTAAATTAGTTCATTGATGAAAAATACTATATTCAATAAAGCTTCATGTATAAGGTTGAGTATCATAATGCAATGGATCATAATGATCTCGTTGTCCATCCTTCTCAGTATTGCAACGACACCACCCTAATAAACATGATATGGTTTGAATAAAGGATCGGAATTGTAATATAGTGTTTCCCTATTTTAAACTTTAAAAAAATCAAGTCAATGACAATGATACCTCCCACAAGTGGCCTAGTGGCCGGGGCTTTAGGCCATGGCTCCGAAGGCGAATAATCGATTCGTGTCTATGGCTTACGCTTATCTCCAGTTTCTAATTATTAGGCATTGAAATACTTATACTATCCATATGGCCCAAAATTTAGTTGGCTGATACTAAGCAAAGAACTCAAGAGTTAAGACTCATATAATATGGGATCTTAACAAAGGCTTCTCATAAACCCCCGAGCATGCCGTAGCATTGCTCGCTTTGGTTTCGGTTCCAGGCCCAATCTTGAACCTTAATCTAAAATATGTTTTCATTGATTTTCTGACTAATTCAAAGACCCAAGCAAATTGTCCTGATTATTGTAAAGTTTTTTCCTTGCCTTTTGTTTTCATTAACACACTCTCACAGATAAAACCACAACCTATTCGTTACTAGATGGTTGTCCTTCATTCAAAACCTAGCACTCATCATGCCCTCCATAAACTGCATACATTATTCTGTTATTTTTCCCCCCCTATATATAGGAGAGAATCTAATCCTTTTATTTCTTCTACGATTTTTTATATAGTAGATTACCTTGAACGCTGAGAATAGCAAAACCCGTTCAGCCTACAAGATAAGGCTGGTGGCCTTGGGCCCAATAGTTAAGGAGAGACTAAAGTTCAAGGCCCCAATGCCTATAATCAATTAACCCAAAATAGATATTATTGGCTAAACTACCACTTCGATAATGAAAAATGCACCGGCATCTTTTTAGCATTTAAAGTGTGTAAAATCTCGCAATTAGGTACGAAAACTGGCCGACGTTCATTTTTTCTGGTAAAAACTGCTCGGAAAATTTCTTCCATCCTCTTGACACTTAAATTTATTGCATTTTACACCATTTTCCTTTTTCAACCATTCTAAACTCAAATTTCTTCTACCCATTTACCCTATAAAATCCTCGTTCATCCTCTCTTTCTCTCTAGCCCCTCCCTCTCCTTTAACCTCTCCCGATTCTAACCCAAACCTAATCCAAAACCCTAATCCAAACAATGGGTTAATCATTTGGACCGAGGTTTGGATTTGAATAAGGAAATGTTGAAGGAGAAGAAGGAGACTCTATTGATGAAAAAGAAAGAGAGGAGAAGAAGGATCTTATCGGATAACGGGCTGACGAGCTGACGAGATCTTATATCTAATTGCCATTTTTACGTATTTTAAATACCACGTAAGAGCGTTTTTAAATATCAAAGTGGTAAACAGAGTATATTTAACTGCCAATTTGATACTTTAGCCAAATATTATTTTTGAAAATAAAAAAACTGAGACAATAAACTGTCACCAATTAGGAGTAGGACCTTTTTTCCACCATCCACATGGCGACAACACAACCTGCCGTGCCGACTCTATTATTAACTTTAACTTAAAAACCAAATCCCTAATAACATAATTAATTCCACCCAATCCAGCACCCAGCCCCCCACCCAACCAAATGTGCTAACAAATAAACTAAAAAACCGCCTGACCCCGGACAATGAAATCATCCACTCCCCATTTCCTCGTCTGCTCTTCCTCTCCCTTAATTTAAAAACAATGCCCACCATTAATCCCTCTCTTCTTCCTCCGTCTACTTCTTTCTTCTTCCTCTTCATCCTCTTCCTCGGGGGCCGTGCATTCTTTCGTCTGCAGGACCCCTTGGAAATTTCCATATCAACAAAATCTCCAAATACCTCAACAGCCATGTCGGTTTTTTCTGACACGGTAAAATCTTGATGATTTGATGAAGCAGAAACAGATTCGGTATTGGCTGTTGCTTCTTTTCTTTTTCGCATGCTCAGGCGCGAACTGCGGTCATACGAATGGCTCGCCATCATCTGATTCTTTAGATTCTCTGATTCGATATCATGCGTTCAGGACGCTAGTCCATCGAAGAACTGGCGTCACCTATGATGTGCCTCTCCCTTCAAATTTGTCAGGTGCAAATGCCGCAGCGGTGAGGACGA